GCAAGTTGTCACGCTGGCCTGAGGAGGAGGGGTTTGGCCCCAGGTCAAACCACTAACTAGCGACATAGAAATCCTCAGCTGCAAGGAGGTTTGGGAGCAGGAAGACCCCAAATGGGGTATCTCCAGCTGTGTGGCAGTGGGATAGCTTTGTGGAAAGTGCTTTTCTCCCTTTCTCTTGCACTGCAAGAAGACTTGGGCTAGCYGTTACCCTTGCAGTCCTGAGATGCTGCTGGCAGGCAGATCAGAGCATTGCGTTCCTGGCTGTGACTGAAGGGTGCTGCTCTGCCCCGAGAGAAGAGGTTAGAGGAGGGTGGGAATTCTTTTAAATGARCGTCTTCAGGTCTGATCCTGGTGGTTGTGACACAAAGGAAGTCTAACCCAGCAGGCCCTTGTCCCCTAAATCTCCCCCTGCCTCCCCATTTCCTGGACACCTGCAATGGCAACATGCTCTCTAGAATATATATAGCTTCTGTCTGAGCAGACTCTGCCTGCAGCAGCGCACTGGGGTTGCAGCTTGCACTTGTTTAACTCTTTCTTTTTGTTTTAGTGGCAAACAGTCAATTGCCATCGATGACTGCACTTTCCACCAGTGTGTAAGACTCAGCAAGTTTGACTCTGAGAGGAGCATCAGCTTCATTCCACCAGATGGAGAGTTTGAACTCATGAGGTATGGTGATAGGGACGAGCAGTCTGATGCTGGCATCTGCCTGCTGCTACAGTCGTGTTGCTGGTCTCCAGACAGGCTTGCTGCCCTTGAGCAAACAGTAAGCATGTGCTCCCTTCCTTTTCACAGAACAGTTTGAAGTGTCCTATGAGACCTTTTATAGATGCAATAGATGGCCATCTCTCTGTTTGTTTTTATACACCCATAGTGTTGGATGTGGGTTTCCTTACCCTTTGACCTATTCTATTTTGTAGTGCCTCAAATTGATGCCTTTGARCAGGGTCACTTTGCAGGACTAAGATACTGAACTTGAGACTCAAGAAGGCATCAGTATCATAGGACAGCACAGACTTAAGTGCCACTCAGCTTTGCGTTGACTCTCTTCATAGCTGATGCTATGAAGCTGTTCCTATGTTTGAAGGCTCTATTTGAGTTCACTGTTTGAGGCCCTAAGAGCTAGTTGTCTCTCAGAGTTCACTCTTGCCTCTCTCYCTGCAGATACCGAACCACTAAGGACATCATCCTTCCCTTCCGTGTGATTCCTCTGGTGCGGGAGGTGGGTCGGACCAAACTGGAAGTGAAGGTGGTGATCAAATCAAACTTCAAACCTTCCTTACTTGCCCAGAAGATAGAGGTAAGAGAATAAAACTTACAGCCTCTTTTGCCTAAGAACTGTGTCTCTCAGATAAGTCCCTAAGACTGTACAGGACTCCAAGTGAACGGAAAGCCCCAGACAGGTGCCTTGCTGCTGTGCTGGAGGTGAAGCCCTGTAGGTGAARTGGGGAGGTGGAAGCTGTTCTTGGTTGTCGGTGCCAATGCAACCAGAACACCTTACCTTRGCAGAGGATGCATTCCCTGCACTACCTGCCTGGAACAGTGCAAAACAACTGTCTGCTGCTTTGGCAGTGTGAAGAACTCATGTTCTTCTGTCTGCAKGAGTCTAACAACCATCTCATGGCCCATTGCCTGTCTGATGAGACAGGCRAAGGTTAGATGCTCAGTCTGGCCTCCTCCTGAGGAAAGGCTGTTGCTGCTCAGAACCCAGTCTGAGGCTGGTTGGGATGATCTGCCTGCACCCTGCCCCAGCTCATCTGTCTAGCTAAGGTTTCCTGCTGCAGATGTGCATCCTGAAGGGCTGTGTCCTGTTCCTCGTTGTGGATTTTAAGCGCTTGTTTGAGCCTTCTGTCACTACAGAGAGACAGCCCATGATGCCTCATAGTAGCTGAGCTGCTCTGGACCCTGAGAGGTGAAGATTGAGGAGACCAGAACAGCAGCTGTGTTGTCCTGGGAGGTGACATCTTCCTGCTGTCTCCTGGCCCGTGCTCACCCAACTCTTCCTTCCAGGTGCGGATCCCAACACCCCTCAATACCAGTGGAGTGCAAGTCATCTGTATGAAAGGGAAGGCGAAGTACAAGGCCAGTGAGAATGCCATAGTCTGGAAGTAAGTGAGCGTGGTTGGGGAGGCAGAGGCTCTGTGCTGAGCACACCAAACAGACTCGGGTATTTCTTTACCTCTGGACTTCCTCTGATAGGATTAAACGTATGGCTGGAATGAAGGAATCCCAGATCAGCGCAGAGATCGAGCTGCTGCCCACCAATGACAAGAAGAAGTGGGCTCGGCCCCCRATCTCCATGAACTTTGAGGTGAGTCAGGCACAGCTAACTTCAGAAGTTCTGTCAGTCCCTTTTGGGCTTACAGGAACTGCTCGGGTTTGAGCACTCCCTGTCCCTGATGGCTCTGTCRCTTTCTAGCCCAAAGCCATCCAGGTGTCACAGCTACTGGAAGAAAACTGTCCTTAAGTCTAGTGGAGTCTTATCACCTTGCACAGAGGGTATAGAGAAGGGAACAGTGGTTGGTGTCCCTCTCTAGATACTTAGCTGGGGCTTTTCAGACTGTTTTGTGTGCAGACCTTTTTATCCCTCCATTCCAATGCTCTCCGTTGCCTTTCCCTTTCTCATAGGTCCCATTTGCGCCCTCCGGGCTGAAGGTGCGTTACCTGAAAGTCTTTGAGCCAAAGCTGAACTACAGTGACCATGATGTGATAAAATGGGTGAGGTACATTGGCAGGAGCGGGATCTACGAGACCAGATGCTAGCCCCAGCAAGCTGGCGGGCTCCCTCTTCAAGCCATCCTACGTGTCTCCTCGGTCTTCAAACACATTCAGAGAAAAATCTGCCTGGCCCCTCTACAGATTGAAAGACCTTGTGGCCCACCTTGGGAATGGACTCGCCTGCCTGTCTCAGTTACCATCCGTGCTGCAGCTGAAGTTCAGAACCCAGTCGCGTGCAGGGATGCTGCCAGCATCCTGCTCTCTGTCCCAGGGTGGGGAAGGGCTAGTCTAACTCCCATCCTCTCATGATCTTTCTAGGGAACGTCCACCATTAAACTCCTCTTCTGTTGGTGTCTCACTACTTGCATCATATCCTAGTATTTTTGAAGTTCTTGTGCATATGTACTCGTAGAATAGACCTAAACATAGACTGGACAAATCTGAATTGAAGTTACCCTGGCTTCTGTACTAGCTATTGCTGTTGTGGTAGATGTTGCTGGCCAGTCTGAGATGCCTGGGGTGGTGAGTTTGTCAGGCCTCCACCAGGGGAGATGGTGGGCTCGCTGGACCTCACCACCTTCCTATAGCTCTTGCAAAGTCRTCAGTATAGAGTCCTGCCCTGGGGAGGTGTGTGAGCAGAGAGGCTGAGGGGTTTGACTCTTGCTGGTGTGTACGTGGGTGGCACAGCATTTCAGGTCCTTAGAGCACTTACCCCCCCGTGCTGCTGGCTCGAGCCAGTCTGTCTTTTCTGAACAAATTGGAAACTTGGCCCCTCCGTCCCAAGGAGGGGAGGTCAACTGAGCTCCGCCGGGCTGTGAGCAGGGTCTGTCCTCGGGGCTGTCCCATGCAGGCGGCAGGGAGCGCCCCTGCCCTCCCCGCGCTTGCGCCCGCCGCTTCTGGGCCATAGGAATGCTGCTGCTGCCCACGGTCCTGCTTCTGGTAGTGTGGTCTCCATTTTGTACACTTTGTGATTTGTCCAGCTCTCAACCTAATAAAGTATGTAGAACGGAGATGGCTGCGCGTGCTGCTCTGTGGGGCGCCGCACTGAGCGCGGCGCGGGTGCCTGGTGCGGGGGAGGAGGAAGCGGGAGCTACCCCCGCCGCGGCTGCTCTCCGCGGGGCGCGGCTGCGCCGGCCCGCGCGGTACCGAGGCCGCGGAGCGCCCCGGGCCGGCCCC